GAGGAAGAATTATAGGGTTGACATGCTGATCCCGTCGTGCATCATTGACCGACTCGCGACCTGCGAAGGTGTTCATATTTCCCAAGGGAGTGCCAAAATCAGTTCCTTGGCAACTCTCCTGTCAACGTTCATAGCCTCTGTCTAGGAGGGCTCATGTTCCGCGGAAATGGATCATACATCGGCTGCTTTTCAACTGTTTGTACCTCACCCCAACCCTCAACACAACTTGCAAAATCCAATCAGCTTGACCTCTCCGGCGGGGGAACTCCCACCCCCAGGCAGCCTTCCGCCGCTATGCTGCCCAGAAAGTCTTGGAAGCTTTGGCGACTGCGGAACGCGCTGAACGCGCCCGGCGCCGCGCCGCGGCGACGACGCTGCAGTCCGCCCAGCGGTGCTGGTCGGCACGACGCGAGCTGGCAAGGAGGCAGTTGAGAGGGCACGGGCGACGCGAAGGGCCGAAGCCGCCGACCGGCGCGGTCCGTTTGACCTGGTGGGCATGGTCATTAGTCGCATGAGAGTTCTGTTCTATGGGTAATTTGAGAAATAACTACATTCTGGTGGCCCGAACAGAGCTGCCTGCCTACAGTTTCTATTTCTGTGTAATCTTCCACCTGGCAACGTTCTGCCTAGAACGAGAGACTCGATTTCTGGCAGAGAATTCCGCAGTCGAATTCTGCATTCGCCTTTATAGGGCGGGATATTTTTGGAGAATAGAACTCAAAGCCATGACTTCCAGAGTGCTGGTTTGTAGATCTTCGGGGCACCTCTATCCTCCAAGTTCGGCACCCCGACATGGAACTGCTGGTGACTGCTGGAGTATTCCATTTCTTTGCTTTTTGCTTACCACTCTGAAAAAAGGCATAAACCAACTAAAAAAATCGCATATAACACAAACTGCTTATATACATAATACATCATAATACAATATTAATATATATTATATAATATTATACTTATGGCTGTGGCCAGAAACATAAGGCTTGGATCACACATCCGAATCCTCACACGATCCATACCTCGATCCATAGGGTATAGATCAAAAGGTGGGTGTGTGATCCAAGCCCTTGGATCACATGGTGTTTGGTTGTTGTGTGGTTGGAGAGGCCTTCACTCAACAGAGGGCCCAAAGCAAGAAAAGGGAAGAAGAAGAAGAACCGTAAAAATAACAAGAAGAAGAAGAAGACTCTCACATTAGTGGCTTCCGGTAATTTGTTTTGGTGTCTTGCACTTTTTGAATCGAGTCATTTTAAAAGGCAACCTCTGCTCAATAGACCACTTGGCCTACTGGATAAGATGTTAGTGTCTCAAGATGAGCTAGCAAACCTGGTGGCTCGTTCTTCCCTGGGCTGCTTTAACTTATCCGTCCTAAGGCAAAGGGAAAACTGATGAAGCAGTCGTTCACTTTCAGCTTGGCGGCTTCCGCTAAATCTTTTTCAGCGGCTTCCGAAAATCTTCCCGCTAAGCTTTTCCAGTTTCAACTACCGGAAGCCAATATTGGACAATGCATGATCCCTCCAAAAAACGCGTAGTGAGGCCATTAAAGTCAACCTGCCTGTCAACTCTTTGGTGTTGGCAGTGATTTTGCACTGCTGCGCAATTTTCAAGCCAGGAAGTGGTGAGCCCCAAAATATGTTTACCGGAAGCCGGTAATTGAAATTGAAAGCGCCACCTGATTGTGAACTCTTGGGCTTGACTTTCCTGGGTGAGGTTTTGCAATGGCTGTGCGTTCCATGTATCCTTGTGACATGGGGAGGGGGGAGTGCCAGACATCAGCCACGAAGCCGCGCTGCATTCGGCGCGCAAAGTGTTTGCGCATGTAAAAAACAAGGAAACAGCTGCACACACAGCTGTTTCAGTGGACACCACTGTGTCAGGTTTGAGTTGTGGAAGAGGCTTGGATGAAGTGAGCGAATCGGGTGATCCATAGGGTTAGGATCAGGGCCTTGATCCATGGGGTATGGATCCTTGTCGTGGAATCATCCATACTTGGGATATTTGCCAAGCCCATAGAAAGATGTATCAAAATAGTATGGACATTTGTCTTGATTGTTTCCCAGCTGAGCTGATGGCGCCAGGAAGGCGAAGCGCGATGGCCTGCTGCTGCTGAGCCCCAACAAGGTTCGTAGCATCCGCCAGATCCAACGCGCCATGCGGCGCTTTGCTGCGTGGGTGGAGTCGCTTGGAGGTGCAACAATGTACACGATGTTGCTGCGCAGATGCTTTGCAGATGCTTCGGGTGTGGTGTGTTACTGCTGGTTTGCAACCATTTTGTTGAGCCGGAGCAAACGAAGTATTACGTGGATAGTCCTCAAGTCAGCTTTGTGGGGATTGGGGACACCCCACTAAAATCCAACAGGTGGAAAAAAAAGGCCTCTGGGCTCAAGCGCCCTTGGCCTTACGGGAGGCAGGTCCCCGGGGCCTTGCGGCCTGTTGTCTCGCAACAGGCGTGAGGCGTCAACTGAGTTCGACCACCACGGTTGAACACCTTTTCCCTTAGGTTTTGTGGCCCCGTGAATCTTAGTGAGCTGTGCCATGGAGAGTGTGCTTCATGAAGTGTTGGACACGCTGGATTCCCCTTGGGGTAAGAAGTGTCGTGGTCTCTTTGAAGGCTTGACCCCAGGTCCTTGCATCCAATGGGACGATCTCTCCATTATTGCTGGAACCTGCGTGATGATTGAAGAGAACAAATTGGTGATGCAGTTGGCTTCCTTTGTTCCCAAGGAGGGCTTTCATTTCCGTGATGGCCCAGAGTGTGATGTGTGTATCCCAGGTGTACATTCGAGAGCCAACTTCTTTGGCTCTGGTGACCGTGTCATTTGTTGTGGCAAGATTCACCAGGTTGATGATCGACGATGGGTGGGGGAGACGCAAACCATTGCTATCCCCTTTCCAATTTTCAGCCTGGAGCAACACTGGAATGCGGTCCACCTGTTTGCGGGAGCGTTTGATGGCTGGTCACAAGCTTTTGGCTGGATCCCATTTGCTGACCCGGATTTTCTCCTAGGAACGCAGATCCATGTGGATTCCGACATCGAAGTTGCTCAAGCTTGGGTGCAAGACGGGACTTCAGTATTGTGCCACTCCACTCATGCCACGAACTGCTGCATGTTTTGCCCCACATCAATTTGTTCACGGTGATGTTGCTGATGTGTCCTTCTTGCATATTGCCGGTTTCAAATCCAATGTCGTGTATACCGCTAGCCCGCCGTGCGTGTCGTGGTCTCGGGGTGGACGTAAGCAGGGATTAGCCTCCATCTATGGACAGGCTTTTCTGAACGCCCTCATGACATGTGGAGTTGCCCAACCAGTGATGATTGCACTGGAATGTGCTGCAGAAGTGCCGGCAAACCCGCATTGCAGCATCATTCGAGGGTTGCTCGATACACTTGGATACAAGCGGCTTTGGGATGATGTGAGTTCACTGCAGACTTTGTCCAACACGGCTAGGAACAGATGGTTGGGCGTGTGGGTCAGACAAGATTTGTTCAAGCAATCCAGAGTTCCCCCTACCTTGCCTTCTCCGGAATTTTTGGATGGGTGGACTGACCAGATCTATTGCTTTGACATTCCCCGACAGGTCCAAGAACAGCTGGTGTTGACTCCCTCTGAACAATTGATCTATGGGAATTTCGACTATTTGCCTGAAACGAAGAGGGGAGGGTTGACTTGTGAAGCCACTCCCAAACAGGTTTTGAATGCAAGAGTTCCATCAAGGCATCAGCCGTTGCCGACTTTGTGTGCTTCATATACAAGCCAGCACCTGTTAAGTCCTCAGCATTTGAAGGAACGTGGCATTTTCGCTTTTCTAGAGTGCACCAATGGGTTTCATGCGTTCGTTGATCCGTTCCGTTTCATGTCGCTTTTTGGAATCCTCGAACCGGTCGCTGTTTCGGCTAAGGTGGCACTTGCTTTTAAGCAAATAGGAAATGCGATCGCGGTCCCACATGCATTCATGACGTTGCTTTCAGGCATTTCGTCCTTGGTTGAGAAGCCTGTCAATATCCAAGAAGCTGTCCTTCAAGCTTGGACTTCACGCACAAATGCCTATACAGGGTTCATTGTGTCCGGTGTTCGCTTCCATGTGCTGTGCAATGCCATTGTTGCTGTGCAAGAAACTACCTTGGAGCCGCCTGTGCTTCCGTCGGGGATTTGTGTCTTGGAACTGCATGTGCTCCATGCCACTTCCGCTGTTCGACATCTTTTGTCTGTTCCAGCCCAATGGACTGTGGGGCACCTCCTTGGCATCTTTCGTTGGCGGTATCCGATTCAGTCTCACCTGTTTCTGTGGCATACCGAGGAACGTATCCACAATGGAATGACGCTCCAGCACATTGCAGTCCTGTCCAACCAGTGGTCTCTCTACCTGGCCAACCGGCTTCTTGCGATCTTGACTTTTGGGGCGTCCAATGTCACTGCCTCTACAGATCATCCCTGTCCTCGGGAAGTGCCTACTCGTATCCAGGAGATCCACAGCTCTGCTTCGGAAGTCTCGCCAACGGTTCCATATGCTCCTTCCGTTGATGGAATTGCATCTACTCAGACAGGATCCTTCGACGGCATTGTCCATTCAACTCCCTTTTTGAATGCAGTACGGCTTGCCGAGAGGTGCTTGCGTGCGGGCCGTGACGTTGTTCCTGCGGTGCATGTCTTCCAGGATCCGGCCATTGGATTCACTACTTAATAGATCGAAATACTTATGTTGACTTGAGTGAACACTAGGAAACTTATGTTAACTTATGTTGGATAGACTTGAAGGTATTCCCATAAGTTCAGATAAGTTCCACGCACGTTGAAAAAGTATGTTTTCCAGAAATTCAACGCTGCAGGCAGGGGCCGCCTTTTTTACACTTTTCGACTCGACTGCATGGTCCCACAGTCAAAGTAAGATACGAATTCGCTCCGCCGTGTCGGCGTTTGTTTTTGATGGCAGGAACAGCCACCAAGAAGGCTTGTAGCAATCATCCTCCACTGAGAAGCGGCAAAAGGAGTGTGTATTTGTTCTAGACCATTCTGAGCCCCATGGCATCCGAGCAAGCGGTCGCAGCAGTTCCACGCGTGCCACGAGTCCACACTGGTCTCCATGGTACAGTACCCCGCACAAGGCACGCTTGACCGCCAGCACTCAACAGTATATCGGCGACACTGAAGGTGTGTTGGCGGAGATGCATCGTGGAGACTTGCTGCGCCGATTTGTCTCGCAGGACTGTCTGTGTTTCGAGATCGGCCTCAGATTGGGGGCCTGCGGCTCCCCACACTCCCAACGCGGAGGCTCGCTTGGAGCCTTCCACGGTGTCTTGCAGCAGTCGAGGCAGGAGCCATGACTGGAGGTGGTCCGAGTTGCACAGCTTCGGGCGCTGTCTCGTGAGTAAACCACGAGACTTGACAGCCTGATGCTTTTTCTCCAAGATTTCTGTCGTGAGGAGCCTGCCCAATTTAAGCGCGCACTCGCCCAGATGCAGTCTGTGATGGTGCTTTGGACGCATGTGCGTCTCCCCGTACGTGCGGCGAAATGCCACTTGGTGAAGCTCTTGTGCTCTCTCTAACGCTTCCACCTCCTCGCGCGCAGCAAGGGGGCGCCACCTTTGCTCTAAGCGACGGATCTCTGTGACGCAATCCAACAGCAGATACAAGCACCGACACTCTTCCGGCGCAAGGCCTCTCACGCCGAGTAACTCCCACGCGTAGTACGCCAGCAAAGGCAGCAGCGACTTGGTCTGACAGGCGTCACCCCGATAGTAATCTCCGTCAAAGTAGCAGGCTCGAAACAATGCGGCCGATCTTGTCGACCCAGCTCGTGGACCTCTCTGCCATCCATGAGAGGAGGCAAAGGTCCGGAGATCCGCATGTGTCCTTGAGGTTTGCGTGGTGAGCGTCTGCAGAAAGAGCATAATTTCAAATTGAACAATTCCGCCGCTGCAAAAGTAGGCATGCATGGCATCATTGCATGCTCTAGAGGGCGGCATGACTTCACGCCACTGCGCGGAGCACATGAGACCCCTCTCTTCGAGACGCAAACCATAGCAGATCTCTTTCTCTTTCAGTGCGGCCTTGGTGTGAGGGCGCCGCATATCTTCTATGCTGTCAAAGTATTCCTGATCTCGAATACTTTGCATCCTTTTTGCACGCAGCAAAACATATGTCTACAAATCCTGGGACGCTCAGTCCTTTCTTAACAACATTGCTACAAAATAGGCACGGCTTAATGCCTGCCGAACCTTTGGCCGTGTACACCATGCGTTGCGCGTCGTGGTCCGCAATGAAGAAAGTCTCGGGCGCCATGCGTACGTCGAACCACCGGTCCTGCAGCAAGAGCGTAAACTCGCGTGGAGTGTGCATATGTTCTAGCAGCAATATGAGCACTTGGCTCAGGCCAGCCTCTATGCTGGCGACGACATCGTGTTGGATGACGGCAGCTGGCAACCATGCAAATTCATTGTGCCAGCAGTGCTGCATTTCCACGAAGGATATGTAGAAGATAGATACTTTCAGAATGGCATGTGCTGACAGCACATTCCCTGCGTGCACTTCGTCCAAGTAGAGCACAGGGCGAAGAACTGAACTCGTACGCAACGCCTGCAACATCTCAACGTGCCAGGCGTTAGACTCCTTCACCATTTTCTGGAGGGCTCTGTGCACCTTCAAGACATGCACAGAAACAGAACTCTTGTCAGGCTTCAGTGCTCGACACTGGCCATGCGCGAAGAGGTCCTGGTACGGTCGCAGCCGGGACTCGTCCAGACGCTGCGCTACCCCACGAGACAGGCCGCTTAGGCCTGTGGCAATGCTCCAGACCTTGAAGGCCTTACTTTGCGAAATACCCGGCTCTCTGAGCGCGCAGTTCAGAGAGTCTTCTTCCGCTTGACTCAGGGTCCGCTTTCGGGGCATGGCTCCGTCCGCGGTACATGTATACTACAGCTATCTTTCATCAAGGTTATTTGAGTGACGCTACAGTATCTGATTTCCTTCCTGATTGTGTCCCCTTATATAGAAAAGATAGATACTGTGAAAAATGTGTACTACGCAGAGCCAGGAAAGTATTGCAGACATCAAACGGATCCAACGTCGACAATAACACCAACAACAACAACCACCACCACCACAACCACAACAAGGTAGCGCTGAAAAAACGCACCTTTTTAACATCAGCAGAGTTGTTGCGTTGCACGGATGTCCCTGCAGAGCGTATATGTACGCACTGCTAAGATTAAAAACACGGCGCGCCCCCCGGCCATGCTTATACCCTTCAGCTCTTGTCCTCTTGGTCTGCATCCGCAGACTGCTTCGCCTTGCCCTTTGCCCGCGGCTTGGGCTTGGCTTTGGCAGTCTGCTTGGCAGTCTGCTTGGCAGCCTGCTTTTCCTTCTGCGCCGCAGACTTTGCAGCTTTCACCATGTCCTTCGCTTCACCCAGCACGTCTTGCGCAGCAGCATGGGTGTGGGCCTTCAGTGTCTGCGCGGTATACGTCAGCGGCTTGAGTTCCACGCCCTGGCCTTGAGTGGTCTCATAGAGGTGCATGTAGTCCGTAGTCTCTTTCAAGTACGCACTCATCTGTACTTGCGCATCCTGTAGGGTCTTCATGAAGTCAGGCTCAACGTCCCAGACATGCTTCTGCACTTCCTGCGTCGTGGACAGCAACGCGCGGCAAAGACTCGTGAGAGGGGCGGCAGACTTGGCGGCCAACAAATTCTGCTGAGCATTCTTGCGCTGCGCGGTCGCTAGCGCTTTGGCTGCCTCCCTGGCCTCCTTCTTGTCTTCGGCTTCTCGCTTGCGGTTCCCTGCAGCCGCATCTGCAGGGACGGGGCACGCAGCCACGTCCATCTCATCGATTGCCTCACCATCCGCTCGCTTCCGCTTCTGGGCCCCTGCGCAGCGCAGAGCGCGCTCCTTGGTGACCAGTTCTTCTTCCACCTGCCGCGCGATGGTCTGGGAGACCAAAGCGCGCACAGGCACAGCAAAAACCTCACCCAGCACGGAGTCCGTGCGGACCGGACACTTGCGGACAACAGCTTCCTCGAAGCCTCGGCTCAACCACACCGACAGTGGAAGCTCCTCCGCCGTAGTCTTGTGAACCTCTTCCTCGATGCGCGCACGGGTCAGCGTCTTGGCGAGGTTGGCTCGGACCACCTCCCATTGGTAGGAGTCTGAGGCAGACACCTGGGAACGGCGAAAGAAATTCGAACGTTCTTCCGCACTCACCTCTGCCAGCAGCTCGCCCGAACCCAGGCGGCGACGAACCAACTGGGCTAGGTTCTGACAAGCCTTGCATTGGAACTTTTTGCCATGAAAGCGACCTGCCTCCGGCAGCTTCTGGTCGCCACACATCGAGCAAACCGGATGTTCCTCAGCCATGAAGTTGGTTCTCCCGGTGAGAGCGCAACGCAAACTACAGTCAAGAGCCAAAGAGCTGCAGAAACCAAAAAAACGTGAGTGTGAAAATTTCGCAGTCATCCGCAGTCATCCCGCAGTCATCTAGAGAATGAACCGTGCAGATATGACCCCTTATCTACGTATGTACCGCAGTCACCCGCAGTCATCCTTGAGTCCACCCGTCCCTCCGCGTCCGTCGTCATCTCGCAGTCATCGCGCTTTTCACCTCCTCCGTCAAGCCGCGAGTCAGCGTCGAGCAGCAGCTATAGTTGCAAGAGCAACTCAGTCAAAGCTGCTCCCTGCCACGCGGTGGCACCAGGAGGAGCCATGCTCAGCAATGCTTGCGCCCAGTTGGGTGCATTTGGCTGCGGGGCTAGCTGCAACTTACCCAGGGGCGGTGTCGTGGCAAGCGTGCACGGCGCCGCTGGTGCAGGCGTCGCTGGAGGCGGCGCTGCAGGCTCTGCAGTCGCAGTGGCCGCCTTCTCGGCACGACTGCTGCGATGCTTCCGCCGTCGCGTTCCTCGCTCATGCGAGCTGCTTTTTTCCTCCCGGCGGCGCCGACGTCCCTTTGTCTTCCGCTCATCGGTGCGATGCCTCGCACGCTTCGGCTCTTCGCTTTTCGGCTTCTTGCGGGTCTTCTCCTTGGCGGGCTCGTTTTCCTTGCGCCAGGCTTGCTCGCGCTCTTCATGTATAGGCCTGAGCCTTTTTGCTCGCTGAAGACCATGACCGCCCCTGGCCATGCAGCTGCCACGTCAGACAATGGACCGACAAGCGTTAATGCATGGCGAGACCCGACTTCGCCACTTGTCGCCAACAGTGCTCACAGCGGACGCTCGCACCTTTTGCGCGCCCCTTTGGCTCTGCAGACTCACTGTCAGAGACATCTGTGGGAGAGGCTGCACGCTCCTTCGCTGCTGCCGGGGGCACAGGTTCTACCGGTGCTGCGGCCTTTGGCGCTGCGGGAGGGACCGCTTTCGGGGTCACCCCTGGTGGTGGGTTCGCCGGCGAGGTCGAACCCTCGGACTCCTCTGGCACACAAGAGTACTCACTGCGCGAGGAACCGCGTGCACTGCCTCCGTTCGGCATGTTGCGGCGCCTGCACAAGCGAAAAAAAGGACGAATGCGAACGACACCGATTCCAAAAAGAATGCATGGATGAATCTATATATATATATATATATATATGGACGTCATCGAATATATATATATATATTTAAATATATATATATATAACGACTAACGACCGTCCAGCAAAACCACCGCGCAGGTGGTTCGTGCGCGTGGATAGAGACACAGCTCCAACCGCGTATTTTTGTTCACCACCCATATAGGTGGCTGGTCTACCGCGCAGGCGGACCCTCAAGCCGGGCCACCACGCAGGTGGCCGGTCTACCGCGCAGGTGGACCAT